TTTCCAGGAATTTGGAAAGATGCTCAAGTTATTCCACTTCCCAAAAAATCAAATCCTGATGCTATGTCCAATTTCCGTCCTATTTCCATCCTTCCTTTCCTTTCCAAAGTTCTTGAGCGTCTAATACACAATCAACTGAATGATTTCCTTCGAATGAATAACTTGCTAAATCCTTTACAATCTGGTTTTAGTAATGCCTTTAACAATGTTGACTTTGAAATCCTGTTGAGTTTACTGCGTTCTCTTAACATATCTCCTACGGTCATTGACTGGTTTCGTAGTTATCTACATGGACGCCGGCAGCGTGTAATCGTAGGTGAATCCTTCTCTCAATGGTGTACTCTAACGGCCGGTGTTCCTCAAGGTGGCGTGTTATCTCCTCAAGTTAACTTCTACCTGCCATCTGTATGCAGACGATCTTCAGATTTACACACAGGATCGATTGGAAAACTTAAATAATGCAATCAATAACCTAAATGCAGACTTAGCACTTATAACGGAATGGAGCATTTGGGCTCAAAATCAATCCAACAAAAACGCAGTGCATAACTATTGGTAGCCCTTACTTTATATCTCGGATTGACTTTAAGTAGATCCCATCAGTTACTTTAAAAGGAACTGTTATCCCATTTTCTGAAACAGTTCGGAATCTGGGGTCATATTTGATAACACTCTATCTTGGTGCCCTCAGGTTGCTGAGGTCAGTAGGCGAACTTTTGCTGCCGCTGGATCTTTACGACGTTTACGTAATTTCTTGCCCACTACCACCAAAATTTCTCTTGCAACTTCTCTTCTTCTACCTTAAGCAGATGTTTGTTATCCCTATCTTACCTATGATCTTCTAAGTAAACTTGAACGCCTGCAAAATTTTTCCATCAGATTCATTTACGGTACGACCATGTTTCTTATTACAGGCAGAAATTGAAATGGCTTCCTATTCGTCGTCGCCGTGATCTGCATATATTATCCCTACTCTTCTCAGTACTGTTCAATCCAAAAGCTCCTGTCTATCTCAAAGAACGTTTTCTTCTCATAATCTTCTGCTTCGCTCAACTGACAATCTCCTGCTTTTCACACCTCCTAACTTTTCCAAGGCGTATAGCCACTCCTTTACCATACGTGCCATCAAACTATGGAATTCTCTGCCGGAAAAGATTAGGCGTGCCCAAACTCTAGCCTGCTTCAAATCCCTAGTTAAGGAGCATTTCTTGTCAGATGAGCATAATTTTCATTAAAATATTACTACGATAGTAGTAGTGCTGTTGCATTATATTGCGATTTGTGTGAATGTCTGTGTATGCCTATATGTTTAGTTTGCGTTTATTTTAATTATTTTCAATAGACTACTTACAAAACTTTTGTCTTGTTTTCCGCACAACCTCCCTCATTATTACTATCGTGCTTCCTAATTTTTCCAGCTCATTGGGTTGTCTGACAGAAATCGCTGTTTAGCGGTAAGACCGCCCTTTGTGCAACTGTAATTATTTTGCTTGTATTTGTATTTTATTCGTGTTATTTATGTTACTGTTGTGCAATAAAGTATTATTATCTTATCTTATCTTATCTTGTTTTTAACGCCAAAAGATCTTTTAAGTTATCTTTATTATTCTGGGAAAACCCTGCACGTGTGTGTGTGTATCGTGATGTGTGACAATAAGGGGTATAAGGATACCTAATAGGTATTCGTAGTCCGTCCATCTGTCATCAGTCCGTTCGGTTACGATATCTCAAAAAAATGGTTCATCAACAGCCCATCCTAGTCCACTGCTGGACATAGGCCTCTCCAATTGCACGCCACTCAGATCGATCTTGGGCTACTCGCATCCAGCTCCTGCCAGCCACCTTGCGCAAATCGTCACTCCATCGTGCCTGAGGACGTCCTACACTACGTTTGCCTAGACGCGGTCTCCACTCCAGAACTCGTCTACCCCAACGGTTATCGGTTCTTCGGCAAATATGGCCAGCCCACTGCCACTTCAACTTGCTAATCCGGTGGGCTATGTCGATAACTCTGGTTCTCTGTCGGATTACCTCATTTCTGATGCGATCCTTCAGAGAAACGCCGAGCATAGCCCTTTCCATAGCGCGCTGAGCGACTTTGAACCTGTGGACCAGGCGTACCGTCAGTGTCCACGTCTCGGCTCCGTATGTCATCACAGGTAGGACGCACTGATTGAAGACTTTCGTCTTTAGGCACTGTGGGATCGACGATGTCAGGACTTGACGTAGCTTCCCAAACGCTGCCCAACCTAGCTGAACTCTTCTATTCACCTCGTCCTCAAAGTTGTTTCTACCTAACTGCAATGTCTGCCCGAGGTATACATATTTTTGAACAACTTCGAGAACGGCACCGTGTATTGCAATCGGTTCCGGTAGAACATGTTCATTGAACATGACCTTGGTTTTATCCAAGTTCATCCGTAGGCCGATGCGTATAGAAGAGTCAGCCAGGTCATTCAGCATCTGTTGTAGGTCCTGCAGGGTTTCTGCCATGATGACGATGTCGTCTGCAAATCGCAAGTGAGAGATGCGTTCGCCATTTATGTTGATGCCATGTCCTTTCCAGTTCAGCGTCTTGAACATATCCTCCATTGCATTAGTGAACAATTTCGGGGAAATAACGTCCCCTTGTCTCACTCCACGATGCAACGGTATGGGACTTGTTTGCTGATTCTGTACCTGGACTGACATGGTGGCGGCTTCGTAGAGACATCTTATCACTTGGATGTATCGCCAGTCGACTTGGCAACGCTGCAGGGACTCCAGGACAGACCAGATTTCAATCGAGTCAAAGGCCTTCTCATAGTCCACAAATGCTAGGCACAGGGGCTGATTGTACTCCTCAGTCTTCTGTATAATCTGCCGCACTGTGTGGATGTGGTCTATGGTGCCGTATCCGCTCCGAAACCCAGCCTGTTCCGGTGGTTGGAAGTCATCAAGTCTTCGCGCAAGACGGTTCGTGATCACTCTTGAGAACAGCTTATAGACGTGGCTTAGAAGGGATATGGGTCGATAGTTCTTAAGTAGGGTCTTATCCCCTTTTTTAAAGAACAAGACGACCACACTCCTACTCCACGCCTCCGGAGTTCTCCCTTCGAACAGGACAGTGTTAAAAAGCTTTTGGAGCTCCCCCAGTACGGGTTTACCTCCAGCCTTCAGGAGTTCTGTTGTAACACCATCCTCTCCAGGGGCTTTTCCATTTTTAAGCTGTCCAAGAGCAATCTCGATTTCGCCAATACTGACTTCTGGCAGGTCTTCGGTGAAGTGGCGTGTTAATGTGGCTCTAGAATCCTCATTTCCGGGATCGGGTCGAGATGCATGTGATGCGTATAACTGGCTGTAGAAGTCTTCCACTTCCGAAAGGACTGCCGGCTTTGAAGCAACAACTTCCCCACTTGCTGTGGTCAGCTTCGTCAGATGGTTTCTTCCAAGAGATTGTACGAACACTTTGGAACCTCGATTCTGCTCTATCGCTCTTTCGATCGAGAGAGTATTGTAGCACCGGAGGTCGTGTCGTACGTGCTTACTGATCTCTTGGTTTAGAGTCCGCTTTGCCGACGAAGTGACGGGTGGATTTTCACGTCGTTCCTTCATTAACCCTAAAGTCTCTTCCGAAAGCTTTGACTTCCTGCCCTTACGCTGTGTTGCACATAATCTCGTACCCTCTTCCCTGAGGATCCGAACCACATTTTCAAGGTTTTGGTTTACGTCTGATGTGGTTTCCACGGCAGCAAATCGGTTCTCCAGATTTGACTGGAACGTTTCAGATCCTGTTATAGATTGGAGCAGAGTAGGTCGGAGCCTGGATTTCATCAAACGGACGCGCTCGGCCTTAAAGTTGATATTCAGAGAGCCCCGGACGAGTCGGTGATCACTACCGGTATTGAACCTATTGATCACAGAGACGTCTCTGAATATATACCTCTTGTCCGTCATGATGAAATCGATCTCATTTTTAGTCATAGTGTCGGGGCTTTGCCACGTCCACTTCCTTTGGGACTGTTTCTTGAAGAACGAGTTCATCAAGAAGAGCCCTTCCCGTTCGAGGAAGTTGACGAGCATTTGCCCCCTTTGATTTCTGCTTCCAAATCCATGGGATCCTACTACCGATTCGCTGCAATTCTGTACTCCCACTTTAGCATTGAAGTCCCCCATAACAACGTTGTAGTGGGTCTTAGTTGTGGAGTGAAGGGCCCTCGATATATCATCGTACATATCCTCCACTTCGTCGTCCGAGTGTGTCGAGGTCGGTGCGTACACTTGCACCACCTTGAGGCTATACCTCTCGGTGAGCTTTATAATAAGGTACACTACCCTGTTCGACACGCTGGACATTTCTACAACGTTATCGGCAAGGGACTTATTTACCAAAAACCCAACGCCACCTTGAGACTGTTGGTCTCCCCCGCGGAAGTACATTAGGTGGCCCGATTCGAGGGTTATGGTGTCCTCCCCCTCTCTTCGGACTTCACTTAACCCTAATATGTGCCACCTAATCTTCCCAAGTTCTACCTCGAGTTGCGCCAGATGCGAGTCAAGCCGTAGCGTGCGTCCGTTGTACGTCGCCAGGGTCAGTCTATTGTGGTGGCCTCCCGTAGCCCGGAGATTCTTAGCACCCCCCGCCCCGCCGTTACCGTGGTCGCCACCGTGACCAGGAATAGCGGGGCTGCCGGGAACTGGGGGCCGTGGCATGTGGTCTGTGTTCATTGGAGGTATTGCCCGTAATCGCCACGCTGGGCAGGCGGGTTGGCGATCGCAGAACGTAGGTTAATTCACTGATGACGCTGCTGCCCGTCACCAGTGAGATTTCCCTCCCCTACGGCATTGGATGGTTATACCGCCATCGGTCGTTTTAAAAAATGGTTAAGTATATTATTCTTAAAATATCTGTGAACGTATGTATGTTTGTGATATTTGAACTTTATTTTATCACTTAAGATAATAGATAATAATAAGATAAGAAAAACATGAACAGTTGTAAGCATAGTCTATATCTTTATGCGGCTATGGGTCAAGACAATTTGTTCACTATCTTAAGTACCTTATTGATAAATTTTCCTTAGCCAGCGGTATTGCTGTCGTTCTATCGACGAGCAGTACACTCGTTGTTGCTTTAAGAAAATGAAAATACATCTTATAGTTTTCTTGAGTGCGTGTGTGTGGTTCACTGAGAGTGTCAAATTCACAAGGTGTAAATTAGCAACTGAGTTGATGAAAACGAAACTGATAGATAAAACTTTCCTTAGTAACTGTGAGTATCTTTATAAGTATAAACATTTATATGTATAGTTCTTCAGACTTCTTTATCTATACTGTTTGTGAATGAATTTCTTCTAAACAGCTGAACTGATTTCTATTCACAAATGAACCCGGTACTTGCATTGAAGACGGGTTTTAGGATTTCAGCTTAACTCTTCCTGTACGTCGAAATTTCAAATGAGGATTCCTCGATATTTTTGGTTTTACAAATGAACCTGGTAGATGGTGCTGTAGTTCATTTTTTATCTTCTTTCTATTTAGATCTTTATACCAGTAAGCGGCTAGTCACGGGCGGCTGGCTGCGCACGATTCCTACTTTTTCAGATAATCATATACCAATTTATATTGACGCGGCCGCGACTCGGCAGTTAACGCGACTGCAAAACAATACGCGACTCGAGTAGCTGCATGTGACTCGACATCTATAATCTAAAATAGTTATGTTTTTTTTTATTTTTCAAGCATTATCTGATAAATTTTTAAAGCTAAAGAAAAGTTTACTAGAAAAAAATCAACGCAGACCAGGCAGCAGACGGGACTCGAACCCGCACCCTTCGCTATCCGGGCGAATGCACAATATTACCTACAATGTGAAAAGATGACGCTGCCTTGCAGCCTAAAGCTAGAGAAAGTTCGACACGGCCGCCAGAGCCGCGGTAGCATAATGGTCAGTGCATTCGCCCGGATAGCGAAGGGTGCGGGTTCGAGGCCCGTCTGCTGCCTGGTCCGAGTTGAATTTTTTCTTGTAAACTTTTCTTCAGATCTACAATCTAACAAAATAAGGCAAACTCGAGCGCATATTGCCATTTAGAAATATAAAACGTGGTTTTTATTAAAACACTTTTAGTGTAAACAAAAGATACAACAAATAAAATTTAATATTTCATTGAGTTCGCCTGTTCGGGGCATAGTCCCCAAAAGACTGGCAGTGTTATCTTGCTTATCTACCAGATCTCAGGTCCCCCGTGGCCTCACACAGGCGAGCAGTTACATCCTTAAGTAATAATTATTTTGCAGCAGGGCCCCAAGGACCCATTGTTTCCACAGCAAAGGGCAGGAAAAAATTTCTTACCCACATCCCGGTATTTGCGCTCAATCATGAAAGTTTAACTCCAACTTAAATAATTCTATTTGGATCAATATAAAAAAGTTGAATCCGTACGTTAAAATAATATATGCGACTGCATTATAGAAGAAATGCTTAACACAAAAACGCATTCATGGAACGGCAGAAGGATTTCTCATTCTCAAAGATGAAAGCCACTTTGAATTTCAATTGACTGTAAATGTAACTGATCTTAAACCGTCATTCCAACTAGCGGGTCGAAGTTCCAGTTTCACTAATGCTTAGCTAACTTCGCTCTGAGAGCTTTAAGTTGAAATTGTATTGACCTGGTGCTGCGGAATCGATCATGGAAACATAAGTTATCGAGGAGCTTGATAGCGCAGATGGATAGCACGTTCGGCTTGCGATCGTGGAAGTTAAGCAACTTTCGCAATGGTCGGTCTTTGGATGGGTGACCAAGAACCTATTTAGCAGAAGGCGCGTTAGGCCGTTGGTCCCAGCTGCATCTGCAGTCGTTAGTACCCACTAATCTGCACTGGGCCCGCGTGGTAGGTCACGGTTCAATCTCCCTATTCTACCCATAGGGAAGACCTGTGCCCCAGCAGTGAAGACATTAATAGTGTGTGTGTGTGTGTGTATGTACAATATATACATGTTTGTACATATACATATTTCATTTACTAGCTAAAAGAGAAAGAGAGAAAGAAAATGTGCGCGTGCACTGCTATCTCTTGCTTATATCCCCCACTCAACTCCCGTTCGCCTCACCCGAGTAAACTTTTCGTAACGCGTAACGCATTCGCCAGCTCACCCCCAACCCCGCACCCCGTCAAGCGTGCCTAAAGCAGTTTCACTTCATAAATTCCCAACCGTCCACCTTGTACTTGGCCAGTTAGGAAACAAAGTTATGTTTTATTTAGGTTTAATTATAATTTAATTAATACTTTTTTTTCGTTATCTACAATATCCAGCTATGGAAGCCAAACAAATATTTTATCTGTATTACAAGGACACAATAATCATCTTACTCAAGCATTATCTGTGACATGAGATTTGACTCCAAACTTCAAAGTATAACTTAACATAACTTGGGGTTCGCCCATTAATTTCTCGAGTCTCTAACAGGAATAATAACGCAATACCTATCAGTTAAACGTTAAATAAAAAATAGCATAAAAATATGAAGGATATTATCGTTAAAAGTTTCATCTTTTGCTTTGTTATTGTACTCTGCAGTTTTTTGTATACGCAACGCATGCAAACAAAATTGATATACATACATATACATCAAGTTAAATTCCACAACTCATTCAATTCAACTATTCCGGTTGTATGCAAAGTTATAGATGCGGCCGAGCGAAAATTTTCCAAGATCAATTACCTAGATAATGTCGTTTTCACAGCTGCATTGTTGATTTGTGATCGAGCGTAGACAGTATATTATTAAACAAATCACACAGTGATAAACATAAGCCATGAGGAACGCGCGTGTGTTGTACCATTTATTTGTGTTCACATATCTGTATGCAATAATAGACTCTAAGAGGTTTGATTCAAGATGCAAATTGGTGCGTGAAGTGATGAGAGTCGGATTGCCGAACGACATATTTTTAGGAAACTGTGAGTGTAAAAGTTCATATGCATTAAAAAATAAAATAAATTATCGCATGGAAAAATGGTCTCTTGGAGTATGGTATGGACATTTTGACAGGTTTTAGGAAGATAAAATTAATTAGGATGGGAAATCGCGTAATAGGGAGAGATACTTGTAAGATTGTCTGTGATTAGCGATCCAGGTAAATGCCTTTTAAGTGTCTCGTTATTATTTAGGCACAACTACTGCTCATATTCCTTTCTATGTCTAGCTTGTCAGATGCAGTAATTACAATCAAAAATTTGTTGATAATGGTAGGAACAACAAAAAAATTTTTTCCTCATAAGTCAATTTCGGGAATCAAATTCTTCAAAGACTTGTCATTGATTTCATAAATCAAATACGATTTTCTAAATAGGTTCTCCTGAAATATGTGTTGCAGAAATTACTCAAATAATTATTGTTTACTAGCTGTGCCCCACGGTTTTACCCGACATTTTCCCGCATTAAAACGTAGCCTATGCGTTAAACCAGGTTGTTAGCTTACTGCATACCAAATTTTATTGAAATCGCTCCAGCCATTTAGTCGTGAAGAAGTAACAAACATGCACACTCACACTTGATGTTAAGCAACTTTCGCAGTGGTAGGTCATTGGATGGGTGACCAAAAATTTACTATCTCTAACTCCTCCGTGCATCTGCAGTCGTTAGCACGCACCAATCCGCACTGGGCCGGCGTGGTGGGTCCTGGTCCAATCTCCCTATTCCATCTAAAGGGAAGTCCTGTATCCCATCAGTAAGGACATTAATAGGCTGGTGATAATGATGAAGTTTTATTTAACAACATCATTAAAATATATTTATATTTTCTACTTATTGCGATTTACTTAACGAAAGCCGATTAAGTTGTTTTTAACGCCACAAGATCTTTTAAGTTATCTTTGTTATTCTGGTAAAACCCTGCACGTGTTTGTGTATCGTGAGTGCATACACATGTACGCGTATAAATATAGCAAATTCTGATTTAAATAATTACCTAGCTCGCGGTAAATTTATTTAGGCAATATTAATTATTATAGACAAATTTTTTTTATGAAACAGTCATTTCGTGGGACGTTTTACAAAAAAAGTTCTTAGGCGGAGTTAAAAAACACTCCATGTGACGAAAAAAAATACGAAATCCTCATTGAATTTTAAGACAGAGAGAGAAACATTTTGTTGACCACATTAATTTACAAAACAACACAAAAAAAAAATTATACTTAACTAGCGGCCCACCCTCGCTTCGCTTCGGTGTAGAGCTGTAGTGTAGACTACAGTTTTGTTCTCAGGCTTGACATTCATCTATGATTCTTTTTATACCTGCATGCAAAGTCTCAGCCCGATCGGTTTAAAATTGACAAAGTTTCATACAAACTTTCAATCCCTATTTTTTCCCCTTGGGGATAGAATTGATCAAAATCCTTTCTTAGCGGATGCCTACGTCATAACATCGACCTGCATGCCAAATTTCAGCCGGATCCATCGAGTGGTTTGGGCTGTGCGTTGATAGATCACTATGTCAGTCAGTCACCCTTGAGTTTTATATATATAGATGGACTAAAGAAAAAAAATACATTAATCAAGTACCATTTGTGGTCAATCAGGACCCTGCCTCAGCATAATGCTGCCACAACACGCAACAAAACGTGTCACGTGGTATGCAGGGCCTGTTAAGCTTACAATATAAAAAAATAAGGTTTCGAATCGCTTCGAGAATCTAAACGATTCCAAATAATCGAATGTGACGATGTCTCTACATTGAAATTTAAATCAACTCAATGAATTTTAAAATAGCAGTCAATGGAATTACATACATAGTAAAATAGACAGTTTTATCATACTGAAATAATGCTGAAGTTCAATATCGGTATTAACCTTTTCGCATATAAAAAGACGTTTGTTTATAAATAGAAATGAATACATTTTTAATACCTCATTAAAATTCTGGACCTAACTGAAATAAATCAAAGCCATACAAAGCGCAGGTCAGCATATACCATTGTTTATTCCCCCATTATGATGTCTGGATCTGGTTGACTTAAATGCTTTAGACTGAAGCCTCCCTTGAGTCACAGAATAATAACCGATATTATTTGATTTCGTCATCCGATATTATTGGTGATAATGTCGGATGCGTTATGCAATATTTCGGCATACTTCTTTTGTGTGGCTATTATCGCAGCAGCGTGTAACTTCGTAGCCGCTCTCATACATAATGAACTTAATCAGATATCGCAATAACGCGTCCAATATTAACGACCGATACTAACGCAACCATGGGGGTAGGCCT